CGCCCGCCGCGCGGAGCCGAGCCGAGCCGAGCGGCCGGGACTGGGCGCGACCCCGGCCAACGGCGGCGCAGAAAGCTGGCAGAGGCGCGGGCCATGCAGAGGCTAGCGCTCGCCGGGACCCGAGCCATCGTGGACATGTCGTACGCCCGCCACTTCCTGGACTTCCAGGGCTCGGCCATCCCTAGCGCGATGCAGAAGCTGGTGGTGACCCGGCTGAGCCCCAACTTCCGCGAGGCCGTCACCCTGCGCCGGGACTGCCCGGTGCCACTCCCCGGGGACGGAGACCTCCTCGTCCGGAACCGGTGAGCCCGGCGCGCGTCCCCCGCCCCGGCCCCGGCCCGCGCCGCGCCGCTCCGGGGCTGTCCCGCGCCCGCCGGCGTCCCCACTCCCGGCGCGCGCTCGGGCGCACAGCCCGACTTTGCAAGATCCCGGGAAGTTGAACCCGCCGCCATCTGGCGAAGGCGAACGTAATAAGACTGTTGCCGGTGTGAATATCCGATGGCACCGAGCGTCCTCATAACGGAGGGTTATTTTAATTTGGGATTCCCCTCCCCTCCCCCAGCCCTCCCTCCTCCTCCCCCTCCCGCTCCCGAAATAAAACCGACGGGACCCAGAAGGGGAGGCTCCCTGCCCGGCCCACCCGCGCGCACCCACGGCTCCAGCGATCGCCTAATCTTTAGGGTGGAGTTGGGAACAGCCTGGACACAAACCGCGACGTTTAGGTAACGTGCTTTGGAGGAAGGAGGCCGGGGCCCCGCTGGCTGTTCCTGTCCGCTCCAGGTTGGCAGCTGCCTGGCTGTGGTGGAGCCCGTCGTTGGGTGTGTTGGAGTGCACCTCGCCGGTGCCGTCTGCGTGTTGTCAGCTGTGTGTGACTGTCGTCTGTGCCCTGCAGTGTACAGCGGGGCGCGCGTCCCGAGCGGCGGGGCCGGGGCGGGGGGCATGGCCGCAGGTTTTGCAGACTGGATGAGGCTCGGGTCGTCGCCCGACCTTCGGACTGTCTTTTCCACCTACACACTGCCCACCTTAATTTGTTTCCATCTCACTAATCCTTAGTAACTGCTGAAGCAACAAGAGGGAAGGGACCTCACTCTGCAGAGCCGTGACCGCGGCTCTGCCGGTGGGTCCCCTCGCTGCCTGACTTGCAGGCGGGGCGTCCGCTTCCTCCATCCCCCTTGGCGAGAGCGGGGCTCGCCCGCCCGGTCAGTCCCGTCTGTGGGGCGAGTGTTGCATATTTCAGGTTGCGTAATATTTTCGGAGGGAGAAGTAACTTTTGGTTGTAACCAGGTTGTCAGTGGTGTGCTCGAAATCACCCGGTCCTCGGCGAGGACTGAAGGACCGTGTATCTTATCTAATCAGCTTGGGGCAATACTAAACGGTCCATTTTTAGAGATTCGTATCAGCCTTCCAAACCTGGCTGGGAGACTTCGGAATTCTGACCAGGATGTCAAATTTCTGGGAACCTGTTGGAGAGGTAGAAACCAAGTGCGCCAAGGGTGGGGCTGAGTGGAGGCTGGGAAAGGGGTGGGGGCAGGGGGCGCCCGAACCGGTGGGCTGAAGTGCACCGCTGGGACCCCGGGCGTCGGAGGATTTCTTCATCAGTACCAGGAACCGCTAAGGCAGTTGAGATCCAGACGCGCGTCCTGCCAAGTTGAAAAGAAGGGTGGGTGAGTGTTCACGCAGGACATACAAAACACATGAGTGATTTGCTGGAAATGAGACGAGACTCAGATTGAAAAAACCACCGAAGAAACCCAACAGGCAAAGTTTCACGCAGGCTTTTTCTTTTTTTTTCCCCCTGATACTGCTCACTGTGAACGGTGAGCCCTGATGGCACACACCACGGCTGCTTGGGAAAAGAACACCTTTTACAAACAGGGTGTGAAGTGGGGAAGGGGGCGGCTGAGCGGGGCGGGCAGGGGAAGGTGTGAAGTTCCCGCACTCCCAGCAGCCGCGCGGTGGGACCCCCGCCCGCACCACCGTGGAGGTGTTTCTGCCCGCAGGACCGGCCCTACCCGCCTGCGGGGCACCAGCTCCGCAGGGTGTGTGCCCCTTCCCCGCGCTGGGTCACCAGGGCCGGTCCCCGAACTGGGTGGTCGGTCGGAGTTCTGGAGCGCCGTCTGCCATGTTGGATGCAGTCAACTTGGGTTGCTTTAAGATCCACGCCTCTATCTTCCGTCCACAGATGCCAAGAATCCCTTTAATATAAATAGGATATTTATAGTCACCGCTTGACCTCTAACTTCTACCTTGAAATCCGCCACAAAAGAAGGGGGCGCGTTTTCTGCTTGTGGGGAGGGGGCGGACCTCTGCCTGTCCCTCTCCTGACTCTGCTGGAAAATCTGCTCCTACCCCCCAAACTGTGGGAAGGTCCTTTATTCTAGCAAACGTTGTCAGTAAGAGTGGCATTTTACCGATTTTTTTTTTAAAGAATACTTCACTACAGGTTAGTTCATTTTAACCCCAGACCAAATCGCCCTGAACAGTGTCAACTGCCTGAAAATTCTGTGCAAGAGCTTCTCATTTTTATCATCATAATAATAATCATAATCTGCTCCGGGGTGAATGGATTCAGCCCATATTCACCTGTTTGGAAAGGTGTCTGGGGAGGGGGGTGTTTAATTGTGCTCCCTCTGACTTTCTCTTTCAGCAGAACCTTTTGCACGTGTCTTTCCATTTTAACAGAAAATACAAATTCTTTATTCACAGTGACGGAGGTGCTTTTTAAGACATCGATTTAGCATAATCAAGTTTATCATTTAGGAAAGGTGTGAGAAGGGGACCTAGAATCCTAAAACGTGTCCACGCCTTTCCTTTATCCACTTCTGGCCTTCCGCTTTCTAACATCCGAGGAAACCCTGCTTCCCTCCTCAGAAAAGAGAAGAAAATAAAGGGGGAAAGACTCCGACTCCCTCTGGTTCAGTTCACGCACTATTTTTAGATTTTTCTTTTTTTGCAAGATGCTGCCACATTATTTCGTTTCCAAATAATTCTAACGATTTTCTGTTCAAATGTAAGTTAATGGAGCAGAGAGTTTGTAGGACCGGCACAGAGAAGGTGGGGGATGGGGAGGGCATTTTTGATAAACCGTTTGTTGCTCACGGGAGGGTAACTATTCCTGCTCATTCTCCAGGCCGAGATTTTTTTCCCCTTCATTCTTCCTTTTCTTTTCTTTATCCTTTTTTCTTTCTTTCTTTCTTCCTTCCTTTCTTTTTTTTAAGGAAGGTCTGGTTTGGCAGACTTTGTCTCCCAGTATTGAAGGTTTTGCTCTGGACTTGAGTCTTCGGGTTTGATTTTTGTTAACAGGAAACCCATTGCCTCCCCTCGGACCTCTGCACTGTTTCACAATAAACATGACGAAAGGGCTCATCGCTTTTTAGTGTAAATAAACCGAGTGACTCTGGAAGGGTATATATTTGGGGAGAGCCCCAAACATCCCGTTCTTTTCCCCGGGGCTCCTCGATTTTTGTCTTTTGCATGGGTCTGCCTGTCGGATCGTTAGACCCCTGGACTCATTAAAAGCACGTAGTTTAAAGGAGTACAGGGTAGTCTCCAAATGCACGCATCCTCCCTAGCGCGTCTTCTTTTTCTCGCTCACTCGCCCTTTCTGTCCGCTGTTCCCCAAACCCGGACCCCTGCCCACCGCGCCTGCCGCTCTTGAACTTGTTTCTGATGGAGCTGAAGGCGCCGGCTCCCACTCCCAATCCTCTTCCCAAAGCCCAGGTAAGAACCAAGGCACGTCCGGGCAGTGGCGGGTCCCCACCAGCCGCGGTGGCGGCGCCGCGTCAAAGCGGGGGTTCAGGGAGAGGTGGGGGCCCGCAACCAGAGGGACGACCCTGGAGAGGGGGAGGTGTGCAGAGTCGAGTACAAACTCAGGATTCCTTCACCAACGACGCAGGCGATTTAGAAGACTGCAGGGTGGGGTGAAGAGACACGAAAAATGGGGGTGCCTGCGAGGGCAAGGTCACGGTCTGGCCGCCGGCGGCTTCTGTCGCGAGGCCAATGTTCTCAGGAGCGCCGCGTGCCCGGGGCTCCCCTGGCACTCGATCGCCGCTGAGCCCGAGCTCGGCGGCCGGTGCGGACTGGACGCGCCCGCCGGGATCCCGGCTTGGCCCAGGGAGGCTGAGGTCACGGTCGCGGGCCTGAGCAGCGACCCGCGCGACTGCAGCCCGCTCCGGGAGTCGGACTCACGGATCGCATCTGTCCGTGGTGGCGGTGGAGAGGCCGCGGGACGACGGCACCGGCCGGGTAGTCGGTGGAGGCCGGGCACTTGCGAGGGGAGACCGTCCAAGAAGCGCGGGTTTCTGGCGCCCTGCAGGCTGGCCCGGGCGCAACAAGGGCGCCGCAGGGAGCGGGGACGTGGACCTGGCGCGGGGCGGGCCCTGTGGTCTCCGGCCCACGCTCCAGCGCTGGCCGGGCTCCACCGCCATGTCTGATTTGGGTTTTTAAGCAAAGCCCCCTTGGTGAGCTCAAGCTGCCGCTGGTGGGCTGCAAGCGCCGAGCTCCCGGCAGAGCCCACCCTGCCCCCCAACGCGCGCGCGCGCACGGGCCCTCGAGGCCCCCTCTGCGCCGGTGCCCTCGCCCCGCCGCCGCTGGTCTCCCAGGCGTGCGCCCTGCTCGGTCCGCCGCCTCCCGCCTGGAAGTGGCAACCACAGCCCCGGGCGGCGGTGCGGGGCGGGGGCGGTGATGGGGCTGCCTTTTTCTCCAGCAGCCCTTCCCGCTTGCCAGCCCCCTCCCCCCAGTTCGCTCCGGTTTGGAGGTGAGGGTGACCCGAGGGGCCGAGTCCAAGGCGGGGGCTCCCGCAAGGGAAGAGCCCTCTGTGGTTGAAAAGACAGAAACGCCAGCGCGGTGGGGTGGGGTTGCGGGGGCAAGACGGGAGGGGCGAAGGCCTCGGGAAGGGCGAGCCTAATCCTGAGCGAGGAGAACAGAGCAGGCTACCCGCCCTGGCCCCCACCTGTAAGCACAGCCCACCTCCCCGCCCCCGCCAGCCGTCCTGCAGCCGGCCTTCCAGAACCAGCGATCTGGCATCCAGAGGCACCCGACTAGGCTCCACTGCTGCCTTCCCTGAGGTCCTGAAGCACGCGCTCAGGACACTAGGCCAGGCCTGGAGAACTCGGCAAAGTGAAAGGAAAGATGCCCGGCCCTCCCCCACCCAAAAGATGGAACGTGGGCATCTTGGCATTAAATGCCAAATGAGAGCCCACCACAATCCATTATTCCCGCTTCTTATTACTGTGTCCTGTTTGGGTATGGAATCCTGTAAGGTGATTGTGAGGCCTTGTGTCTGGTAACTTCTGAAAGCTGCTGGGCCAGCCCGAAGGAGTTTCCTGCTTTCTTATTTCTGTTGATAAGATATGTAGAGTGTCCAGTCGTGTATGCTGGGCACCGTCTTAAGGGTGCATTTAGGAGGGCAAAGTATTGTCTATATATACAGTGGAAGTGGATCCTTGTGCGAGGCAGTTTGGGGTTTAAGTTAAATTAAAAGTAAATAATTTTAACATGAGACCTACTTACCAGTTTCCCCCTGCCACCAGATCCCCGAACCTTTTCCTTTCATTACAGGTGGAAATGGCATCTTTAGGGTCCTCCAGCTGTGTGTCTCAGCCACGTCCGGACATCCTTAGGAAGATGACTTTTTTCCTTATGTATCAGGATATTTTTGTTATGAGGTATACTGAGATGAAAAAAAGCTGGTAAAAATACCAGCCTGGCAATTAAATTGACTCTGGATACCAAAGTGAAAATAATCATCTGGTATTAATCAAGTATGTCTCTGCTTCTTGTTGAGGGAAAATATAGTGTCGATTTGCTTTCCTTTTCATCTGGGAAAGACTGTAAAATGTTGGATGTTCCTTAAAAATCTCTCTACCCTTATGAGACAATTTTTGTTCAGTTAATCAAAATGCATATTTTCACACTGGACACAGTTACATCAGAAGGAAAATTTGCTGCAGCCTCTCTCACACTGTTTGAAACAACCCCTGCAGTAACGTGTAACATCCAGTGACCTTGCACATTACATCAATCTTTAATAATATCATTGTCATTACTATTATTATCTGAAGTGTTAAATTGTTGCCAGAATCAATACAAGTCTACCTCTTTGAATATATTTTATCCCACTGTTGTTTTTAACATCTTTGTTAAGAGACCAATTAATTTCCAACTCATAGCTCCAATGAAGTTTGTGTATGAAGCCTTCCTGAATTTTTTTTCCTCTCTTTTGAAAGAAAGAGAAAGGGAATTAATGGCGTATGAAATAAATAACCTGCTGTTTAGAGGGATGTGAAATTACTCCTAAACTAATGAAAGACTACAATATACCAAAACTCTGATACAGAATCACTGTTGAGCTCGCATTTGTTTGATTTCTTTCTTTCTTTTTTTTGAATGCATATCAAGAGTTTTGGGTGTTTTTTTTTCTTCGAATTCTGTCAGAATAGATAGCAGCTTCACCACCCTCCACGGTTACCAGAATTAGAGGAATGGAAAAAGCCATGACAAAGAAAGCACCTGAATGTGTTTGTATGTTTGTTTTCCTCCAGATTTGTTGGTGTCAATGCATCTGACATCAACTATTCGGCCGGCCGCTACGACCCTTCCGTGAAGACCCCCTTCGACGCGGGCTTCGAAGGTATGGGCGAGGTGGTGGCCTTGGGCCTGTCTGCCAGCGCCGCATACACGGTCGGCCAGGCCGTGGCCTACATGGCTCCTGGCTCCTTCGCTGAGTACACAGTGGTGCCCGCCAGGGTCGCCATCCCAGTGCCGGCCCTGAAACCCGAGTATCTCACGCTCCTGGTGAGTGGGACCACAGCCTACCTCAGCCTGAAAGCGCTCGGGGGGCTGTCGGAAGGGAAGACAGTCCTGGTGACCGCGGCAGCCGGGGGCACCGGCCAGTTCGCCGTCCAGCTCGCAAAGAAAGCCAAGTGCCATGTCATCGGGACGTGCTCTTCTGCCGAGAAGTGTGCTTTTCTGAAGTCTGTTGGCTGCGACCGGCCCATCAACTATAACGCGGAGCATGTGGGTGCCGTCCTGAGGCAGGAGTACCCCCAAGGTGTGGACGTGGTGTACGAGTCTGTCGGGGGAGCCATGTTTGACTTGGCCGTGGACGCTTTGGCTACCCGAGGGCGCTTGATGGTGATCGGGTTCGTCTCTGGCTACCAGACTCCTACTGGCCTGTCGCCCGTGAAAGCAGGAACACTTCCAGCCAAACTGCTGAAGAAATCTGCCAGCATCCAGGGCTTCTTCTTGAACCATTACCTTCCCGAGTTTCGAGGTGCCATGGACCACTTGCTCAAGATGTATGCGGGTGGCGAGCTGGTTTGTGAGGTGGACACCGGGGGTCTGTCTACAGAGGGCAGGTTTACCAGCCTGGAGTCAGTCTTCCGGGCCGTCGATTATATGTACATGAGAAAAAACACTGGGAAAATTGTCGTTGAATTACCTCCCTCTGTCAACAGTAAGCTATAAAAGCAGAACAATGGCATAAATAAAAGGAGAAAGAAAATGGGCATTTTATGCCCCAGAACTACTCAAATCAATTTATTTTTAGTTGGTAATGGAGATAATATTTTTTTAAAACAAAAGTAAAGTTTAATGAATAGGTCTCTCTCTTTTCTTTGCTTCCTTTTTTTTTTTGCTTTCCCTTGCCAAAAAAAGTGCTAATAAAACTTCCCTCCATGGCACAGAGGTAAAACCTTTACATTCAGTTCTTTGCTCATGGACAGTCTCATTCCAGATTTTATTGTTCCAGGGAACTAAATTAATTCCTGATGCAAGATCTGATCAAATCAGCATGTCTTCAATTTGATGAGATTTTAAAATCAGGCTTGAAAATAGTTCATGAGTTCTTTGCTATGGGAGATTTTGGTATAATGCTAACAAGTTGTTAATACATGAGAGGGAGAGCAAAAGTCAGTCAGTTCTCAGAGTCCATATTCTCAGGAAATGGCCCTTCTCCTTCCATAAATTACCAGCCAATTCTGTAAATAGAAATTTGGAGGGATTCTCCCAAAACTCTGACTCTGTTAGGTCATTAGAAAAAGAAAATTAAATGAGCACAGACCTCTTTTAAAGAAGTATCTCTTTATTTAATGATTTTATACACAATCATGCTGGTGAGGCATGTGTGGAATGGAAAATTTCTCTCTTAAGAAGCAAAGTAGTGTTGAAAACTTATATAGACAAAAGAGCAGGTTTGGTAAAGGGAAACTAGAGATTCGGGAGACTTTAAAAATTTAATACATGCACGGGAAGTGAAGAAGGGTGTCCTCTATCCACAGTGAGAGTCAGCGTAACAAACACGGGCCATACGGGGAAAGCTCTGTGGATGCGGAACAGCGCCCTTCATCTGCCTACTGGGGTGTGTCAGACAGTATCCTGCAAAGCAGGGACTGAAGCGACCTAAACTGAGTGTGCGTTTGCTTCACATCGGAGACCTTGGGAAGGTGGGTTTTCTCTCTGATCGTGGAAGCAGAGTAGCCATCACTGATGCCTGTCCCATTTCAGTTCTCCATGTGGCCTGTTGGGACAAGATGCTTCTTGTCACCATCACCAGATGTAACCCCCGTGAAGGTAACCAGTCCCGCGCCTTCCCCTCTGAATCAAGCCCACAGCTGATCCACCTTCGTCCCCACCTTCCTCAGCTCCCCAAAGGCTGCTCTGGTTTTCATCACTGAGGTGGGAACCCCATCCTGCCTTTCTAATGAAGCCACACCCACCAGACTGTTTTTCAGAGCCTTGGGTTTCAGCATCTCTAACATGCTAAACAAATAGACACGCGATTAGAGATATTCAAGGAAACTTGGTGACCGCATTTAATTTTTCTCTCTTTCTGTCTGAGGAGCAAGGCAGTCCTACCGCTGAATAGCTGTTAGGATCTATTTTACAAGATTTACTCATTTTCAGGTACCTAATGTAGCTGCTAGCATGCATGCACAACAATACAATTTATATGGTAAATGGGGCCAAATAATGGCTTCACTGAATGTTATGGCTGCACTGAAGGGAAATGTCACGGTAAATAGTTGCCAAATTATGGATCATGCCGGAGTGTCACAACTGCACTAAAGACAAATAGCACCGGAGGCTATTGCCACCGTGACGCTTTTGAGTTATGAAGAAGGGTAACAGCCCGATGGGAGGCTCTTTGCGTCCTCATTATAGCAAAGGGTTACTAGTGCAGGGCACCAGAGAAGCCAGGCCAGTGTGCTGCTCCGTTATTAATCTGTCCCGCTCAGACCTAACAGCTGTAGCGAAACCGAAGGGGACTTTGCCTCCCTTTTAGAGGCCCAAGCAAACAAAGGGGAGGGGACAGGTTTTATGAATGTAACTGCAAGGGAATGGCTGGGAGTGGAGCAACGTTGTCATCAAATCAGCTCATCAGAGAATATTATTCACTGTAAGGTAGTCTCTGTCTGATAGGCTTAGTTGTGTCCTAGGCAGACAGATGTGTGAAGTCTAAGCAATCATGGGCTTTCTCCCTCTGTCAAGACTTGAGTAGTAAGGACTTTGCCAACTAAATTGCTTCTTCTAAACTGAAGTGCGTCCCGGTTTCTTTCATTTTAATGGGAGAGTAATAAAGATGAAAGACCAACATTTTAATGGATGGATCCCTGAAGCTACAGAATAGAAATTTATTATGTTTTGAAGGCATACACTAAATTCAGCTATGTAAAAAAAAAAAAAATTCAAACAACCAGGTTTAAAATAAAATATAATCTGAAAACCTCATGTTCTGTCTCTTCCCAAACTAAGAAACTACAGTGCATACTGTTTTCATTTATTCTTAGAAAACAAGCATGAAAGATTCCGCCCATTCAGATAATGCCAAAAATATGTTTAAACTTTTTTTTTATTCTTCTGAAAAATGATTTGTAAATTGAGGGTCATAGTTCAGCATCAGTTTCATCTTCTGGGATTATCGTTCAAGCCCAGCCTCTAATGGGAGGTGAAATGGTGCGATCCTCTCGCCGCCTTTCTTCTGAACTGTATTACATATCACAAAAAGTACATCCATAATTTAGGGCAATTGTCAGTCTTTGTTTTAGAGACGGGGCCGGGGCTGAACGATCCTGGTGGATGAATTATTTCTGGGTTCTCAGGGTGGCCTTCTCTGCACATCAGCCTGGAGGTCCCCGGCTGGGCAGATGGAGAGCCTTGGCTCCAGTTAGCATGCCAAGAAACAAGGGAGTCCCAGCTATTCCCTCCCCTTCCATTGTGATTTGTAAAAGGCCAAATGCTCTTCCTTCGAATTTGTGTTTGCATGCAAAAAATACCAACAATGTCATTGTAGGTCCATCTGATGATGACTCCCATTGTACACCGCCTTCAGCATAAAAAAAAATCAGGAAATAGTTTGCAGAGAAACTACACAGAAGTTTTGCATGATGTGCTCTAAAATTTGTTATTATATGATTTCATCTGAATGGAGTTTCTCAGGAGGAGGATAGCGCCTTTATAAATGGTCATTAGTATTACATTCAGTATTTATCTAATGAAAGTGCAGTGACAAGTCGCCACCTCTTATTAAAATGAAAATCTTGCATTATGTACTTAAAGAACATTCCAGCTAATGAGGATGTAACGTCCTTGGTACAACACAGACCTCCTTTTTTTGTATGTTCACCCACCACAAGATGCTGGAAACTTGACAAATGATATCATTTAAGACATGCCTGCCGCAGGGACCTGCTTTTTGGCTTCCTGTTCCTGGCTTTTATTTGGGTAACATTTATAATGGCCACCCGACTTGTAATGGGCAATGTTTTAACCCCTTCATAGAGCTCCCAATTAGTGTGAATTTACTACATTCAGGATTTCCTTTAAAATGGGGCAGGGAGTGCTCAGGACTGAAAATATTTTTCTTGATCACTTGACCACATGTGCAAATGGGATAAATAGCATATTTTAAATTTATATAAGGACAGACAAGCAGCATGCAACTTTCAGGAAAAAAAAAAATGATAGGAAAAGACCGAGCATGACCAACTGCGGACGTGAATTTCCTAGGGTTACAGCACAAGTTTTATGAATGTAGCCCAGGTGCAAATGGCCTCACTTGGTGGATGCATAATTACTGCTCTCTATACCGTCCAGTCTCTTGTTTTATTAAATTGCTTGCTATTTATAGTACTTGTTTAGAGGCAAAATTTATGCAAACTTTATTAGCTAATTTTGGGGTTTATTGGTTTTTTTTTTTTTTAATTTAGGTTTTCTGTAACTAATACTCTAATTATGGCTCACAAATGTGATCATATTTCAGAAGTCAAAATATAAAACTCTGAGTTCTCAATACTACTAGTGTGGGCATTTTAACCTTGGAATTCCATTTTTTTGTAGACCTTTAGTATCATGTTATTCAACTTGTGAAAGGAGGAATGTTTGATATGAGAACCTTATTACTGTTAACATGAGCAAAGTATGGAACACTGGCCAAAAAAAAGCTATACAAAATAAATAATATCTCCCAATATGTATCAGTTCATGTAATTCTTGATAGTAGAGTTGATTTTTTTTTAAGTCAAATAAGATACATATTTCAATTCTGTATGCTTGAGTCTTCTGTATTCTTCTTTCCCTAGACTGAGAAGTTAACGGAATGTGAAAACAAGACTAAAAATGGCTGGGTATTAATACTGTCTTAGCATCTATTTTTTTAATTTTTGTTGAAATATAGCTGATTTACAGTGTTGTGTTAGTTTCAGCAAAGTGATTGAGTTATGTGGATATATATAAAAAATAATTATATATATTATATAACAATGTATATATATATTCTTTTTCAGATTTTCTCCATTACAAGTTATTATAAGATATTGAGTATAGTTTTCTCTGCTATATAGCAGGTCCTTGTCAGCAATGTGGATAGACCTCAGGATCTAAGGAGCACACTAAGTAAAACACATCAGACAGAGAAATACAAATATCCTGTGATATCACTTGTATGTGGAATTTAAAATATGACACGAATTTATTTTCAAAGCAGAAATAGATTCACAGACATAGAAAACCAAGGAGGAAAAGGGCATGGTTTAAATTAGGAGGTCAGGATTAAAATATACACACCACTATAGATAAAACAGATAACCAGCCTCCGTTCTTGATAAGATGGTTTGGTCCACCGTGGACCCACCCTTCAGCACTTGCTCACAGCATCCGGGGAGGCGCAGACCCTGTCAGGAAGCGAGTCTTGCATCTCTGGAGCAGTCGGTAAGTACCCCATGGAGTGCAGTTCAGGGAAAGCGATATACGCCTCATACATGCAGGGAAGCATGAGCCAAAAGTGCGGGTTCCAATGGCCCCCCAAAGTAAGAGTTTCCCTGGAAAGGCACTATTTGACAATGTCTTTCTGCCAATGTGAAATTAAAATAATAATTAAAACACACCCTGCTGACTGGTGGTAACATCCAATGGGGAAGATGGATTTATGCTCAGAGCTCAGGAAAACCGCCTATAAATCGTCAGCTACCATTATGCCCTATCCCTTCCATGTAAAGAGTGGAACCAAATCTTAGAACGACCTGAGCCCATGGTCTCTCTGGCTGGTGGGAGATACGGAAGTGTGTTTAGGCAAGAGACGCTGTCCAGCTGGGAAGTGTCTGCATTGCCCTGTGTGTGCCAGTCCCAGGGCGCAGGAGGAGGCAGCCCACCGACACAGACCCAGACCTGGAGGGAGTCTGGGATGCTCTCTGCTCACCACAGATGAGAAAACTCCGTTGACCTTTAAACGGTAAAATTTGGGATTTAAGTGACAACCTAGGGCTTCCCTAGGGGTCTAGTGGTCAAGAATATGCCTGCTAATGCAGGGGACATGGGTTCGATTCCTGGTCTGGGAAGATTCCGCATGCCGTGCAGCAGCTAAGCGTGTGTGCCACAACTACTGAAGCCCTTACTCCCTAGAGCCTGCGCCCTGCAACAGGAGCCTGCGCTCTGCAACAGAAGAGATGCTACCGCAACAGGACGCCCTTGCACTCCAACTAGAGAGTAGCCCTCACTTGCTGCAACTAGAGAAAGCCAGCACGTAGAAAAAAAAAAGGATAAAATGAATTTTATATATATATATCTTTTTTTAAAAAGAGAGAGAACCTGGTTCTACTCACTTTATAAAGGGAGAAAGTAAGACCCAAGAAGATTAGCTGCCTTGTCTAAGGCCGCAGAGAAGCACCAGAGTGCAGGCAAGCTCCTTCCCAGGGCACCAGACTGTCTCTGTCTCACCCTTCCTTAAGTTGCTGAGGTCCTGCCCTCCATGCCTGTTTGAAAGTGTCACAGAATAACAACTGCCTCTGTTATAAATCTTCTGTTGGATGAGGTGATGACCAAACCAGAAACAATATCACGGTTCTGACCACAAAGTGTGTTCCACCCAAGACCCCCCTTTAATCCAGCACAAGTGAGGTGTTCAGACCACTGACTTCTGCATCATCTAATTATCAGCACTTCCCTGGTAGCTCAGTGGTTAAAGAATCCTCCTGCCAATGCAGGAGACGTGGGTTTGATCCCTGGGTTGGGAAGAAACCCTGGAGGAGGAAATGACAACCCGCTCCAGTATTCTTGCCTGAAGCATCCCATGGGCGGAGGAGTCTGGCAGGCTACAGTCCATGAGATCACAGAGTTGGACATGACTGAGCAACTAAACGCGTGTGCATGCGCGCGCGCGCACACACACACACACACACACATCTAAATATCACACAGCCTTTTGGGAGGGAAAAAAGTGCTCAACAGAATTAAGGGCTGAATGACCACAATTTCGTTTTAATGCTACAAAGGTCTGATCTCCTGTCAATATATTCTTCTGTGTCAAATCATGAATATCAAATAGAGAAAAAAATTATCACCCCTTGTTGAGGGCTTATTTCCCTCAAGTATTTAATTTGCTTATGTTCTCACCTATAGAGCTTGGACAATGTCAAGTATTTAATTTGCTTATGTTCTCGCCTATAGAGCTTGGACAATGTTAGTAACAACAAAATACCGAGAATCTGAACTGGCTGATGCCCCTGAAATGGAATCCTGAATCCGGCAGCTTCGGTGCTGCGGCGGCCGGATGCGCACAGCCAAGGCGGGAGGCGCCCTAGAGTGAGGGGGCACGTGCTGGGAGATATCGCGGTGGGGCCACGTCTCCTGTTCCCACGGCTAGAATCCCATCCTCTGTACAAAGGACAGATCATAATTAAGGCTCAGAAGCCCTTCAAAACCACACGATGTTAAACATTCCTGTCTTTCTACGTCATTTCTGTCTTCCTCGAACTCATGCTAAGAGGCGCAAACTTTCAGCTTTATACGCACACATCCTTTCGCAAGAGAAACAGCTCGTTTTCACATTGAAAGTCCCTCCGCAGAAACAGCAACAATGTCAAAGGCAATCTCATTTTGCCGATAGCCTCATTTCGCACCAGGGAACTGGAAGCAATAGTGGGCCTTCTGTATGTTGTTGGAATTTACATTTGGAAATTGGATTGTCTCCTTGAGGGTTTTTTCTCAAAGTAACTTTCGGAGAATTACTTACATCCGGGTAGCTGGGTACGGGAGACGAGATTGAGCTCAAGAGCCTAGGCATCACCCCAGCTATAACAATGAAAGTGCCCTCATTGTCTTAACCGAAGGGTAGTTCTCATTTCAACTTTCACATATACTTTATGTAACATCTTGGAACGTGCTTAGAATAGAGTACAATGTCACTATCTTCCCTCTTCCCTATCAAATTGATAAAGGAGAATGATGCCCGCTTTACAGGTGGGAAAATGCAGTGCAGAAAAGTTACTTTCGTCGATCACTTAGTCACTTGTTGAACAGCGACTTGGGGTCCAAGGCTGTCTTCCACACAAGAGTGCACACACTCACCCACCCAGCTTTCTTGTACACACGCTCATCTGTCACAACACAGCTCCTGACTCAGTAGCACCGGGTCAGGGGCCTGGGAGCCTGCATTTCCCAGGGGCCACTGACACCAAGCCTGAACAGTTAGCAGCAAGGCCCTGGATCTCACGACCTTTGAAGAGACTCCCATTCCACGAAATGCTGTTTTATAGAGCATTTCTGAGCACGCTGTATGTGACCTAGGAATGAATTACAGAGCATGTGCTTAATACAGCTATGAACATGCATTTTATCCTTGAGGTTTTGGCTCCTTTACTTTAACCATCAGCTGTGATGCCCGTTGTCTGTCTGCTATTGGAGGGCTCCGGTGGTAAGTGTTCTCACCCAGTTCAAAGTGGGGCAGAAGGAGGCATAGAAAGGACATAGGAGTGTCCTGGGACTGCAGTGCCACAAAGATCATGGCATCTGGCCCCATCCCTTCATGGCAAATAAATGGGGATAAAGGGGAAACAGTGGCAGATTTTATTTTCTTGGGCTCAAAAATCACTGTGGATGGTGACTGCAGCCATGAAATTAAAAGACACTTGCTGCTAAGAAAATCTGTGACAAACCTAGACAGTATAGTAAAAAGCAGATACATCACTTTGCCAACAAAGGTCTATATAGTCAAAGGTTTGGTTTTTCCAGGAGTCATGTATGGATGCGAGACTTGGACCATAAAGAAGGCTGAGCACCAAAGAATCGATGCTTTTGAATTGTGCTGAAGAAGACTCTTTATGAGTCCTTTAGACTGCAAGGAGATCAAATCAATCAATCCTAAAGGAACCCAACCCTGAGAATTCATTGGAAGACCGATGCTGAAGCTGAAGCTGCAATATTTTGGCCACCTGTTGCAAACAGCCAACTCATTGGAAAAGATCCTGATTCTGGGAAAGATTAAGGGCAGGAGGAGAAGGAGGTGATAGAGGATGAGATGGTTGTTTGGCATCACTGACTCAATGGACATGAGTTTGAGCAAACTCCAGGAGATAGTGAAGGACAGGGAGGCCTGGAGTACCACAAGACATGGTGGGACGTGACTTCACATTGGAAGAGCAACAGTGGAAAACAGTATGCAGTTTCCTTCACACTGCAGTCCCACTCCACTGCTGGGCATACACCCCAAGAAAACCATAATTCAAAAGCATGAATGTACCCCGGTGTTCATTGCAGCACTATTTACAATAGCCAAGATATGGAAGCAACCTCAATGGTCATCAACAGATGAATGGATACAGATGTGGTACATGTATACAATGGAATATTGCTCGGCCATAAAAAAGGACAAAATAATGCCATCTGCAGCAACCTGGATGGGCTGAGAGAGTGTGATACTGAGTGAAACAAGTCACCATAAGACAAATATCACATGGTATCACTTACATGGAGAATCTTAAAGAGAAACAAACGAACTTATCCACAAAACAGAAATAGAGTCACAGATGTAGAAAGCAAACTTACGATTACCAGGGGTGTTAAGGGGGTGGGATAGGGATAAATGGGAAAACTGAGATGGACATGTTCATGGTACTGTATATAAAATAGATAACTAATAAGGATCTGTCTATAGCACAAGGAACTCGACTCGATATTCTGTCATGAGTTAGAAGGGAA